ACGGCCCAGGTGGCCGGGCCGTGGCAGCGGGCTGTGCTGGAGACCCGGGCTTTGTCTGTGCTGAAAGCACCGCCACTTCATGACCAGTGGTTTAAATAGTGCGGCGCGTCCTTAAGCACTTTGTAAATGTCTCCTTTCCTAAATATAAGAAAAAGCTTTGTTCCCATGAGGAAGTTGAGCAGTAGAACAGGTAACTCACAGAGGCCGCTGGGCTCCATCCATGGAGGTTTTAAAGACCTGACTGGACAAAGCTGCCCGGATCTTGCAGACCCTGCTTTGAGCTCTTGAGGTCCGTTCAAATCTGGATTACTCTAGGGTCCTCTATATTTTTTTCTAGAAAGTTTTGTGTTGGTCCAGCATGTATTTTATAATAATTTACCTAATTTCCACCACTAATGCAAAGCAGGGATTCATTTTTTTGTACGTGTGAACATTTACTGTGCATTAATCTACAAAACTGCAGCCTCTCACCATTACAGATTCCTTGCCAAACCATTCAAACCTTGTCTACACTGCTCTCTTCTAGGTAGATACATACTCTTCTTGGTTCACTCAAAGTTCAGTCAAGGCATTCAGTAGTTTTATTTAATTCTTTATAGCCTACTAAGTTTCCTGTTATGAGAACGGTAGTGGTCAGCAGTCATACTGTTGCCCTTTTTACTGAAAGATTTTGTGAACAGTCCAGCAGGAGTAAAAGTTTGGGTTTGCTAATTTTCAAAAAGTGATATTTGAGTCTCAAAACACTCATTCAGAAATTCACATGAGGGATAAATCAACCAGTTGATCATTGTATCTACTTCCTATAGATGATTTACATAGAAGTCTCGTTAAATAATGAAACATCCAGCACCCCTTTACTCTGTATATTCAGGTGTCTGCAAGTGTGCTAGCAAGCAGGATCGCAGGTAACTGACATTCGGTCACTTCCTTATTGCCGTTCTAACACTTGGTGGTGAGAGGGTGCTTTTGGCAGTGAGAGCAAGCATCTTATCTGAGCTGGCTGGGTTTTTTCCTTAATCTCTCAATTGCTTTACAATCCCCACAGCAACCTAGTTAAGTGAAAAGTTACAGTGGGGTCTTGCACATTAGAACATGTATTAGATCCAACAAGAGCTTTGAGAGACCTCTGAATTCCTGAAAGCAGTTACGTCCCTGAAATGTGAATACTGTCATCTATGGACTTGGAAATCCATCAAGTCATAACTCAGATCTTGGTTTCTATAGAACACCATGACATTCAAATTCATTCATGTTATTTCACATGTTGTATTTTGCATAGGGCTTTTTTACAAGGGCTCCTAAATATCCCTGTCAAATGAGTTTTGGTAAATAAGCTTTTCCTTTCTTTTACACTATCCTGTGTTTCTGATGATCCTCGCTAACAACAGGGAAAAACTGACTATGATCCCAGGCATTTTTAGAAAATGTAAAGTTTCTTTTATGTGAATGTAACAACCATTCCCATGTCAGATTTTAGAAGAGCACAATTTACTATCTCAGAATATTTTTGAAGTTCTGTAATAGTAAAAATTACAGTATTTTAAGGGATTGCATTACTCACAAGGCAATTTTGTTTAACAGCACGATTACGCATTTAAGTAAAAGTAAGTCATGTTTATTTTTCCAGTTTGTACTTTGGAAATAATATTTTAACAACAAACTATTTTAACAACACTTCACTTTGCTGGCTGCTTCTAGCTAAGCTGAAGCATTAATGAAGAAAACCCTGATCCTTCAGAGATTTGCTTATTCTGACTGGACCCACTAAACTCAGTAAAACTACTCAGAGTGCTCAGACACAGGCAGTTGTGCCACTCCTGTGGAGGAGAGGTTTAGTTTGCAGTCACTTTTTCAGGACATCGAAAGGTCAGCACACAAAACATCTGTGGCTTACCTACACTTCCAGTGCTTCCAATGCTTTTAAGGTTACTGGGAAAAATCACTTGTTCTGTTGTGGGGCTTGGGACAGCATTTCTGAAGTCACAAGGTGTATGAAGACAAAATCATCAGCCTTGGGGTTCTGACACAAGCAGTGCATTAGGCAATTGGTTTTGCCTTAGACGTGTGAAATAACATTAAAGAACAAGTTATCAATAAACAGCTTCTGTTAATAACATAAGTGTGCATATAGGAAATGACATCATATTCTGTTAGTTTATGATGTAATAACATAACAATAGTCCATCTCAGAAGCAGCTAAAAACAATGTAAAAGCAAAGGTACATTCTCTTGAGACAAAGGATTTACCTCTGGAAAACATTTAACCTTACCTGGCAGCTAGAAAGAGAATCTACTAATAAAGTTCTCTAAACAAACCACATATTTTCTTAAACAGTGGGCTGTAAGGAAGATTCTAGGGCTCTTGTACAGCTGTACAATAGGTATGTTGGTCTGTTATGTAGAACATTGGACTGCATGGTCACAACAGTATTTTCTCTCACTAAAAAACAAAACCAACCAACTAAAAAAAAAACCCAAAAAAAACCCAACCAAACAAAACCTACACAAAAAAACCCCCCCCCCCCCAAAAAAAAAAAAAAAAAAACAAAAAAGCCCAACCAAAAGTAATTTAATAATGCTCAGGTTGGTACTTTTTGAAGCATACTATACTTAGGAGGAGGTGAAAGCAGCTGTCCAAATGTTCTCATTTTCAGTTTGAGCAGTTTTAAGCATATTACCAGCAGCAGCTATTTGCAGGAGTATTGCAGAGATCAGCAGTTCTCCCTTCCACAGTCGGTACTTCTAAAGGGTTGTTATGAAAACACCCCCCAGGAAGTTAAAGATACACTTAATGATATCTTTGTTAGACTGCTGTGGCTCCTTTGCCCCTGCAGAGCGGGTGACAGTGCATGTGGTATTGGCGATAGCTGGGCAGCCAGTTTGAGCAAAGGTGAGGTGTGGGGTTGGCCCTGTGGACTCCAGCACAGCCTCACACCTATTGCACAAGGACTCTGCCTGCAGAAGAGATCTGGAGGCAGAAGTAAGGCATTGGTGCAAGCAGCAGCTGTAGCAAAGTAGGTGTCGGAAGAGGTAGGTGAAGGCCTGGAAATGTTACTGTGTACTTGCCTCCTCCTCTAAAATACCAGGGTGGTTATTCAAATGCAATTAGCACACTCAGCTGCAGAAAAACACTTACATAAAGGTTCCTATGATTTTTTTTTCCTTCCTTAATTATATAAAGAATGATTTCAAAATGAAATTATACTGCAAAGTGCTGCTGAAGCAGCCCTGCATGGTAGGTCTCTGACACATGAAAGAACAACTCACACTCCAAATAATGCTTGAGAAGTTAAAGCAAATACATTCATAAGAACTAAGAGATTTAAGTTGCCATTTTTGTCCATTTAGTGGGATTGCTGTCAAATGAAATTGCATGAGTAATTTTCCTCATACAGTGTGAGTGATCTGTAATGCAGTCACAATGTTAGCTGCAAGAAATGGCCCACAGGTTAGAGCTTGTATGACTGCAAACATTGATATGGGCAGAGCACTGCCCTACATCAGATCTGTTGTATCCATCAGAATGTTAACCTTTCTGTGACATATCCATCAGAACATTAACCTTTCAAAAATGGTCTTTCCCCCGCTTTTGTGTGAAAGCTGGATTTTGCACTAATAACAAAAAACACTCTGGAGAGCAATTTCTTACACCAGTTATGTCTGAACATCAATGATTCTGACCATTAACTTGTTCTTTAAATGTGTTTTCTTACGGTTGTTGTGTCTCCACAGGACTGACTTCCATGATGCTGAGAGGAGTTGCTCATGGTGCAAAAGAAACATTCACTCTTCTGTTGACAAGATCTCCGAGCTCTAACACGGGACTAAAGTTTTCATCAGCATGGCCTGACGTAGCAAACAGAAGCTTCCTAATACATTCCAGTTACACAACTGATACCAAGTCAAGAGAGAAAAATAAAAAAACCCTTGAGAATCTCTACAGTTTGTCAGTTGACATCACGAAGATACGCAGACTGAAGGAATGGGTCCTTCTCCAGGATGTGGCCTATGTTAAAGAAATTGCTGGTATCTTACAGGAAATGGGAGCAGATGAGACCACTGTAGCCAGCATTATAGAACGCTGCCCCGAGGCAATTCTTCGCACCCCAGCAGAGATAAATGCTCAAAGAGCTTTATGGCAATTAGTATGCCAGAATGAAAAACAGCTAATTAAATTAATAGAGCAATTTCCAGAGTCCTTTTTTACTACTGAGTATCAGCAGAACCAGAAGGCAAACATACTGTTTTTTCAAGAGCTGGGACTTAAGAATAATATAATCACCAGGTTCTTGACAAGTGCACCCAATATTTTCTACAACCCTGTTGAGAAAAACAAAAACGTGATAGAGACATTACAAAGAAATTATTTAAATTTAGGGGGCTCTGAAGCAAATATGAAGGTCTGGATTCTAAAGCTATTGAGCCAAAATCCATTTATTTTATTAAATACTTCCACTGCAATCCAGGAGAACTTGGAATTTCTCCAAAAGAATTATTTCACTGACCAGGAAGTTCTACAGCTGCTGTCCAAACTTAAAGGCTTCATTTTTCAACTTAATTCTACCACTATGCAGAAGAGTATGCTTTTCTCCAAAAACATCTTCAAGTGCAGTGATCAAGAACTAAAACAACTAGTGCTGAAATGCCCAGCCCTTCTCTACTATCCTGTCACAGTTTTGGAAGAAAGACTTGAAGGACTACTGAAGGAAGGAATTTCTATAGCACAGATAAGAGAGACACCAATGGTGCTGGAATTGACAACACAAATTGTTCAGTATCGAATTAAAAAGCTCTCTGCGTTAGGATATGATATAAAGAGTGGAAATCTAGAAAGCTTGAATGGTACTAAAAAAGATTTTGAAGTCACTTATGGTAAGATACAATCAAAGAAGGAGAGACCAATTTTTAATCCTGTTGCTCCTCTACACATTGAAGATTAATGTGAATGCTGTACTTCAAGTTATGCAAAAGCAAATTAAAAGGCAAGTTGATTATTTGAGAAGAGATGGAGCAAAAGCAATCAAGACTGTAGTCTTACACTGTACTTTGTTCAGGAGGGGGTCTTAGATACAACTTCATTCTACAATCACAGTATTGTAATATCATCATAGAAGTTACAGTTATGATAAAGGTTGCGTTTTTCTAAGAGTACCTCAGATGTGACATTTTCTTACCTGACAGGGCATTAACTGCCTTAGATTTTCAGCTCTGTCACTGCACAGTCCAGCCTGTGGTAGTGATTAGCACAATTTTTATCTGAGGAAGACAAAAGGAAGATGATTTTTCCAGCGGTGTTCATCAGTCAGGTTTGCTGTCTTCACAAAACGCCCTTGGAGTTCTTTTCCTTATTGCTGAAGTAGCTCTAGCTCCTGGATCCTGACCTGCAACAAACTCGATTTCTTGGACAGCAAAGCCCTGTTCTGAGAACAGGGGCTGGACATAATATTTTTTTATTAACTCAGACCCTAGTATCTTTGTGTACAAACCATAATGCAAAGAAACTACAAGATGATAACATTTATATTTCTGAGATTTCAAAATTTACTTATTTTTTCAAATGGTGTGGGAGAGAAAGAAATACATTTATTGCTATTGTATAGTTCTTAATCTCTTCTAGCAAGGTTTGGCAACAAGACAGATTAAGGAGAGACTCAAGTCTCAAATGATGGTAGGAGAAAAGAGAAAGTTATGCTTTTTTATTAGGTGCAACAAAACTCTAGTCTGTAAACCACTGGTGATTAAACATGACTACCAGATTTGCAAACAGCTGCAACAGTTTCTAAATATATGGGTGACACTGCTTCTAAGATAACACCATATGACAATTGGCGACAAGTGCTGGCTTTCAAAATAGTAACTATCAGACAGCGTTTAAGTTCTCAGGGGATTTGATTTCTTCTCATTTATGGGCTGTGAATGATAATATAAAACAGTAGCACCACTGACAATCACCTCAATAGGATTAGGATCAGTGATTTTATTTCGCAGACTTTCCTAAGTAGCTATTCCACACACATTCCCTCTTGACAGCAGAATAAAAGCCAGCTACACACCACCCTCATTCCAGGCATTCTTCAAGGTCATTTTTAACACACATCTTGGCAGCAAGTCCAGACCTCCATTTCTTAAAATGTGGTTTGTAATTGCTGAAGAAAGCTGGTATTGAATTACTGGTCCAGAGGGTGGGCTGCAAGTTGATGAGTTTTTATAGTCTGCCACGTTATCTGCTGTGCACTGGGGAGGGGCTGGGAACACCTGGTAGGAGCAGTGCAAAGGTCCCAACAGCTGAAGGTGTCACAGTGAGCACTCTGCAGGCACATGCAGGCGTGACAGGCGTTTCTGGGGGTCAGTGGCACTCCTGCAGGAGCGTGTGCCACACTGGCAGCAATTCAAAAGGGGACATATCACAGCATGAAAAAAGGCAGTGGTACCAGGCTGTGTCTATGCTGACTCTTCCAAAACTCATTATCGTTTTTTAAGAGGGAAGACAGCTATATTAAAAATTCACAGGAACTTGCCTTTGTCACTTTCAGACTGTCTTTCCCTGCTCAGGCATTAAGCAGAGCACAATTTTATCTGAATTTAAAAGCCTCCTTCCCCCAGACACAAAGGGGCATTTCAGCTCTCCAAAGCCCTTCTAACACAACCTGTAACTGAGCCAGAGACCCAACTGGTAGCTTAAGAGGAAAAGGAAACCAAGACACACAACAGTGTTTTCCCTGAATATTTAGCTCTAGAATTTCTACAGGTACCTGTTTTTCACAAAGTTCTTGAAACAGCTTATTCCCATCACTTAAATTATTTGCCATGCCAACAGAACAGGAAAGGGATGTATTTCCTTAACCAAGTCACAGCCAGAGTTACCACAAACTCATTTTGTATTCTGCATGTTCCAACTTCTTTTTCCCTTTGAAAATAAAAGCATTCACAGAAATGCTCCTCTTCTACTAGATGAAAATTCAGTCAATCCTTCATTCCTAACTCTATCCTGGGACCTGTTTCTCTCTTCTTCATGGGATTCATTTACAATAAAACCTCAGGAAAATTCCCAATCACCAAAACACTGTATTGCTGAAATCCTCATCTTTTGTTACTCACAGTGACTGTGGACCAGCCTGTGAGTAAGCCTTTCACTACCTAGAGAGAGCAGTCAGGCGTACAAGCTGCCTTCATAAACATCTCCCCTTTTGGAACAGGGACTGGGAGAAGCAAAGTGAAATACAGCTACCACAGAAACAATCCCAAGACAAAAGAAAAGCCTCACTCCCCCAGAAGACTTCAGTTCCATATTCCATTCAGCTCACTACGATCTTAAAACTGGATATTCCCAAGCATAATTGACCAGGGGAAAAGAAAATTAGTGCAAAGGATATTGTGCTGTGTCTGTGCCTAGCTTACACACTAAAGTTAAAGATTTTGTTAAGAACTGGTTATTGCTAAGTAGACACAAATAGAAGACAGTCTGGAGCATGGTTCTATGGGAAGATTTATACCTAAGTATGCCTTTCTCCACAAAACTAAGGAAGCTTTCAAATGTCTGAAACAGCAACAATTTAATGCTTCACAGGTGCCAGGACAGAATGGGAACAAGTTTTTAAGATGAAGCAAGTTTCATAAGTGAATGGAAAACACACAGGATACAGGAAAAAGCTCTTTGAAAACTAAACCCATATGACATGTAAAAGTTTCGGTTTACAAGACTCAAAATAATAGCTACAGGATACGTTAAGAACAAGATATAATGGAGTGTTGGCAACTCCTTACATACCTAACATTGCTTATCTCTGACCATGCTTGTTTTGCTGCAAGTTTCATAGTTTACAATTAAAGAATTTAATAAAAAAATGGGTAGGACCAGTTCAACATTCCCATTTACAGAAAAACTATTAGGAAGAGTTTGGTTGAGTGTCACAAATTATCACTGTGCTCCAAACAGGTGATTCCTAAAGAGTTTAGTGGCAGCACTTGGGGGATGTTGCTACACTGGAAATTGCAGGGGAGCAGACCATACTAAATTATATGCTGCAGCAAAATTGTCTCTGGTATCCAGACTAGCTCATTTCTAGAGCTAACTGGTACTTCTAGACAATACTATATTCTATACAATTTGCTTTTGACTATAAAATAATTAGTTAAAGTCTTCCATTTGTTGCATCAACTTACCTCATTTCCCCCTTGCAGCAGATCAGAACCAAGCAGCTGGTGTATCTAACAGAGGAGTAGATGTCATTTCTTGGGTTTTTGCGCTCCCCACTGCCCCAAGTTCCATGCTTACAAGTATCATGCTTCCAACATATATGATTTCTGATATAAAATAAAGTTGTTGCAGAGTGCAGTTGATGTACCAATGGCTCAGAGAGATTGGGTGACTACAATACCATAATTGAGACAAGGTGTACTTTCAACACCCATGAACAGAGGAAGAAGTTTGACAAGTGATATGTTTTGGGTTTTTTCATTTTTAAAAAGTCCCCCCCCCATATAACCACCTAGTGCAACCACAGCCACTGAAAAAGTAAGTGTACAAGTTCTCCATAGAAACAAAAGTTTTTCAAAAATATTGCATACACACCATGAACAGATGCCTCCCATAGGCTTCCAAAGACATTACTTATTTTTAAAATCAGTACACAAATAAAAGATCACAAATGGTTTCTATTTTAAGGCAACCTCATGCTGTGTCATTACAAGTGCATTTTGCCTCACACGCTGCAGAGGATGTACAGGTGTTCCCATCTGAGGTGTAAACATTTGGAATCTGTCAGTATACATATTACTTGAATCATGTTGCCTTTTTTTTAAGGCCTCATCTACTGTTTTTGGTTTGTTTTAAATGAAAGTATTGCATTTTACTCAAAAATCAAGGTGAAAAGTACAAGAAATCTAGTGAAAATTTCCTTGCATTTGCTTAAACAGAGCAAAAAGCTAACCTGGTGTATCACGGAGTTAAGAGAACAGCTTTGCTAGTTCTTCAGTGGTTTCCAGCTACACAAGAATTCCTAGCAAGTTAGACAGCTGTGTTAGATGACCACAAACATCAGCCCATTTTCCACAGGCTGTCATTTTTTTCTAGTGTTTATAAGAACTTTATTAGAAGCAAGTTCTCACTTGCAGGAGATAGATGCATATTATTAAATACACCTGAGATGAAGCAATCACATTTTCAGTAAAAACTGAGAAAGTTTCAGATATCACGATTTATAAAGAGCCTAAAGCTCATTTTGTAAACTGCACTGTAACAACAGGACAGTTCTTTACACAGCTTCACCTAGTAAAAAGAGATTTTCTTCTAATAAGGCATTAAGTTAGTTTACTCTTTATGATTCTTTCTACCACATTTGTTAAACTTTTCCACTTCTATCTATCTCCCATTCTCATTTCCAAATTCTGCACACCTCCAGTCTCTTTGCTACAGTCTTCGCTGTCAGAATACAGTCAGGGATAGTTTACAGGCTGCCTGCAAGTACAGGTTCAGAACCAAGACTGGGTATGTCCAACAGTGCTTTCACACAGCTGAAGGATACTTAGCAGGAAGATGTGGAAACCACTGAGAACAATAACTGTCATCTTGTTGTATCAATGGCATCACAGAGACTACTGAATTTCTACATTCACATTTTAGTCCAAAACTGCAGAAGATGTACAGTAAATGACTATTCAAATATGTATTATTCCTTCAGATACACTCACTTCTATAGTTATCAAGTGTAACATTTCACCAGATACAAAGCTTCAATCTAGGCTCTAATAAATCCTCATACGCTGTGCTAGCCATGCTTCTGTCCTTTTCAGATGAAACTGAGTTACTTGCACAACTCGTTCGAAGATGAAGTGTCTAAGACACATGGCTTCTCATGGTCCCAATCTTAGCAGATTTTAATGCCACTGATGCAATATTCTGGAGAATTGAGTATGTCTCAGTTTTGGTTTTAGTCAGACTTGTCCTTTTTCTTTCCTGTTAAAGGCACTTTACTTGCAACAGCAGATCCTACAGCTGTAACGCCTCCAGCTACAGCAGAAACACTTCCTTTGACTAGACCCACTCCCACGGAAGGCACAGATGTGACCGCTGTTTTGGTAATTTCCAAGCTCTTCCCTCCAATCCAAGCAACACCTCCAATCGTGGCACCAACAGCTCCCTTTGTGACACTGAAGAGGCCACCAGTCACACGAGAAAGCATGCCAGCCTGCTGCTGTGGGTGATCTTTGAGTGACCCTAAGGGAAGGAACAACAAGCAAATCAATTTCAGCACCAGGATTTAAGCATTTTCAAAAAAGTGTTACTCAAAAGTATTTCCTTTTCTAGCCTAACAGCCATTGCATATAGTCTATACTAACCTTGCAGGCTGCTTTTTTGGATGCTCATACACCTAGTTCCAAATAACAAACAACAGGGAAACCAAGAAAAGAGCAAGTGGAACCACAGTGGGCAGAGCTAGGGAATAAACAGACATGAAATAAAAAGGTGAGGGAGTCAGGAGCAGAAATAACATGCTTGGAGGAGGACAACTACTCTAGGAGGTAGCAGGAAAGAAAAAAACAGCTCTAGAGGCACGGGAGACCTCTGTCCAGCCCTGCCACACTTGGTTGAACAGATGATCTGTCCCCAGTGCCCTCACTGCCCACAACTTGCATCCAGAGCACACATTCCAAGAGTCATGTCCCAGCACTCATCTACTACAAGATGAAAAGTAGGGTGAGCAACTTCCCATGCACTGCCAATACGTTTGTGATGGTGCCAGGACTGACCTAGGACTCAGAATTCATTAAAAAATTGTAGAGGTCAGAGTTCCTATGTGCGTGTCTGGAATAACTCAAGCAAAAGGTGCCACCTAAATTAGAGAATTTTCTACAAAGTTGACAAAAAAGGAAAACAAGGATACAGAATCGTGAAACCCAAAGGAGTTGAAAATACTGAAAGTCCTTCCAGCTCACACTAGTCTCTTAATTAAGAAATTGATATAGATTATAGAAAGGGTAATGGAAACTGAAAACATAAATGACAGCCATGTAATACTCTTGCTGGTTTATTCTAGGCCAGCAGCTTTCAACATGGACATCTCTAGCAAAAATGCATTGCCAACACAAACACACAGAGATCAGAATTTCTATTTACATAGAAAGTCTTTAAAGCATCACACTCAGGAGGAAGTATGCAGAGTCTGCCATAAAATCCAATGTCTAGGGTTTATTCACTAGAGGATTCTTGTGACCAGACTAATAGAACTTGTAACAAATTTGGTCAGAAACTGTTTCACTTCCACTTAACTGGTTCACTATCATCAGGGTGAAATAGGCAAAAAGTTTCATCCCTCTGAATTTCAAGAACTGATTTCACTGAATCAGAACTGATGTAAGCAAAAATGATCCATCATAACTAACTTTAAAAATAATAAGAGAAACAAACAAATGTAACCTTTATGTATTTGTCTTTACCTTACTTCAAGTAGCCAGTCCATTGACATCTACTCTATTTCACAGGTGTAAATACAGAATGTGATGGTGTATAAGTAACTTCTGGTAATGGCTGGCACATTCCATTTCCATTCTATTTGCACCATCCATGAGCTCTAGCAAACATCCAGCACTGCAGAGTTTTATTGCCAGTTGATTTCGTTCTAGGACACACAAGCTTGGTCTCCTTTTTTCTAAAGAGTATGTTTCCAAAGAATACCAGATCCTGCCTAAATCTAAGGAGATTGGCTCAGTCATGTAGACATGGTGCTGATAACACTAAGGTTGTGGGTTGATCACATGGGCCCTCCATTAAGAGTTGGGCTCGATGATCCTTGTGGGTGCTTTCCAACTCAGAATATTCTGTGATTTATGGAGTACTGAGAAACTGACACAAGTTCCCTATCCAGGAGTTGGCTCTACCAGGCCATCTTGCAGCCAGCTTCCCACTGAAAGGAACCCAAGAATGAACAAGAGTTTGAATGAACGTCGGTTGCAAAGGTTGGAGCCGCTCTCAAGGCAGAAAATATCACATTAGAATAGCACTACTCATAAAAAGCAGGAGCACAAAAGCATCTTCTACACATTCTTTGAAGCCTTTGGGCACCAAGCTTGTTGAGCGTGATTTGAACTAACCAGAACTATTTCTATCTTTAAGAAAAACTGCAAATTAGTTTTGGAATTGAGCCTTTCCACTAATGAGTATTCTGGCAGCCTGTTCAGGAAGATGATTTTGCCAGCATTGAACTGGTATCCTTCCATCCACATTTGGCTATCTTTCTATGATGGTGTAAGTGTGTCATGTATAAGGCCTTGCACAACATTCAAAATGGGGTTGCTTTCCAAGGGTATTCCAGTATTTTAACTAAACTCATAAGGCTTGAAGAGTGCAGGTGAATCAGAACCAAAAGGAAAAAGCCTCTTCAAGGATGGAGTTTATGTTAAGATGAGCTGTGCTTCATTCTACTCCCTCTAACTACACCAACTTTCTCCATCTATTTAGACTTTATATTCAAACTAGTTATTGTCACACTGAAAGAAAAAATGTGCAGAAGAAAGCAAGTCTTAGCTGCTAACAGATTTTAAATAAAATTTTGGAATAACCAGTGATCATCAAATTCTGCTGTTATGCTCTGAATCTGAAAACCTAATGAATATTCTAGAAGGATAAAAAATGCCCACTGCCCTATTCAATAAAGAATTGGTTCTATTTTTCAGACTGCTGTTCACTTTCTGTATATGTTGTTTAACATGCATCAAACACAATTAAACCTTTAAGGCAAAAAAGCCCCTAACAACTAAGCAAACAAAACCCAGCCTTAAAAATCAGACTTGAAGGTAACACATTAAGGTGTAGTTTCCAATCAGGCATTTGCTATCAGAAATGCTTCTGGGACCTTAACACCAAAAGCGCAAGACTTTTTGTCCTCACACCATGCTATTATAACAAGTATAACAGAGCTGAAGAATTTCTGTGCTATGAAAACCTATTTTCCCTTTCCTCTCATCTTCTTCTACTTGTGTTTCTTGCCTAATAGTTGTTAAGAATAGAGTGAGCTACTCGACTTCAATCCTTTCTGCTACAGTTAGTGGACAATACTGTTGTTCAAATGAAGTATATTGCTTGGTTATACAACATATAAAAGCTGAGGTGAAAAAAAACCCAGACCAACAAACAGAACTTTAAAAGGCCATTATAAACTGAAAAGCAATGAACCAAGAGGAATCATGACTCACCGACCTCTACATCCAACACATTTGGTTTTAAAGCAAGAGCAGACAGAACACACATAAGAACACGTTTTTTTACATGCCAAGAATGGCTTTTGATCGAGTATATTTCCAGTCACATTATGCAAACAGGACTCTGCTCAATCCTGCCAGTCCACAGCTTAGAAGAAACTCTGCTCATTTGCAACTGCATTTCCTCTGCAGATCTAATAACCAATTTAATATTCAGCTGGTTCAGGAGACTACAATGTCACTGCATTAACGAAGTCAAGTGCGTGCTTGATTTTATGAAACCATGAGATTGTGAACAGTTGGAACCACTGTTAATTGTATGATGGACAACAGTCTCCAGAAGCAGTAATGAAGTTTTATTTTTTTTTAATGCATCTTGCATAAAAGTCACATGCACTATGAACAGAGCAACGCGTCCAAAAATGAAGCTGGGCTCTTTATGTCTCACATAATGAATAGCAGAAATAAATGCCCATTAGATCAAGTCATATCTCTGCAAACTAATCTGCAAATTAAGTCCTTCAGTAACTGTCCATCTTCTCTATAATTTATAGGTACAGTTGTTTACTCAAGTTATATTCAGTGGCCTTTTTGTAATCAGGATAATGCAGAAGTGAACAATAATCCAGGCCCATCTCACCCCAGGGTTGGTTTGTTTACTGTTATGTAAAAGAAAGTTGAAGTGTTCAGCTTGCAGATCCATTTTTAGAGAGAACTGATTGATTTACTCCATTTCATGAAAACTAATGCATACCTTCTGGTGGTTCATCATGAATGTTGGATGGGACTTCCTGTTGATTTTTGTCCGTTTGATTCATTATTGCCTGAAAAAAAGAAATTCACACATGCTATTCATCTTTTCTGGCAAAGCATAAATGTAATCCATTAATCCAAAATTCAAGTAGATTAAGTTCCACAAAGATAACTTCTTGTTCATTATTAGACAAGCTAGCAGGTCCTGTCAAATTGCTCCTATTTTTATTATCAGACTGTGCTTTTGCATTCAACTAGGCTCAATACTTAAACTTTATGCTTGGTGAGAGCTGCCACACCACACCAAGTGCATCTCAAAAAGCAATCAAGAAGACAGCAAGTAGGAAAACAAAACAGCTACTGCCATACAAGAGCTTATGTTTAAGTACTGAAAAAAAGCCTAGTGATCATAGAGGAGATGGCCACTAGAGAAACAAGAGCAGCATGCCTGTGAGATCTGCTAGTACTTGGAAAGCTGTTTAAAAACACCAAGTCCTTGCAGCATAATTTGAACAAATGCCATGAAAAGAAGATGGAAGCACAGCAACAGAAACACACGCTTTATCTTGACATGGAACTGCATAAATGGTGTGGTGGAAGAAGCAGACCTAAACTGTTTTAACTCTATACAAACTCTCCAATGGAAATATTTCAGGGAAGATTTCTTTACATTAGAAGCTGTTTCCTAGAGGAGTTCTAGAGCAGCAGTCCCTGACAGAGGAAGCATTAGAGAAAGCTCAATCAGCAGCTCTGATTATAGAATTTTTTCTCTGGAAGGGAAGAAAGTACTAACCAGTCCAGGTTTCCTTCCTGCTTTCCTCCCCCACCAAAGCATGCCTTGATATTAAGTCCTGCCTCCTCCCGAGTCCTCCTGCTAATCTTGCTTTCCCTCCTCAGCAAGCACCAAGGTCAGAAAAAGGAAAAAGAAGTCACATTACACCAGTCAGCATGCTTCTCTCTTTTTGCCAGTGACCTCTTAGTTCCTTTCCCTCTGCATAAGTCTTTAAATAATTTCATTTCTTCCAGGAGTCAACAAGCACCACAAAAATAATTCCTGCTTCTCTTGCTGTGCCCAGATCTCTTTGTACATGCCCTGGGTGAGAAAGCAGAGGCTGGGATCTGAAGAAGGAATGTGGAGGCAGAAGCAGGTGAGAAGACTCATCTGGAAAACAAGAGCTAAAATCCTCACAGTATTATTATGAAGTTAAAACATCACACTAAAAACTGGCACCCACATACTAAATCATAGACCTTTGGATGAGAAGCAAGCCTAAATTGAATATTAAAGAGTCCTCCCAATCAGCACTAAGGGTATCAGTTTAGGGCTCAGAACACACAAGAAGCTGAACAGGAAAGCAAGCAAAAATACCTACTACTGGGATGGCCAGTTTGATGGAAATGCTGAACAAGTGCCACTCAAAAGCCAGAAATGCAAACATGTCAGCTAAGAAATAGGAAAGGATCATATGATATCCCGAGCTGAGAGGAAACCACAAGGATCACTGAAGTCCAGCTCCCGGCCCTGCACAGGACAGCCCCAAGAATCACACCATGTACCTGAGAGCATTGTCCAAACACTTCTTGAGCTCTGCCAGGCTTGTGCTGTGACCACTTCCCTGGACAGCTGTTCCAGTATCCAACCACACTCTGGGGGAGCCTTTTCCTAATATCCACCCTAAAACTCCCTTAAACAGCTTTATGCCATTCCCTTGGGTCCTGTCACTGATCACTACAGGGAAGAGATCAGTGTCTGCCCCCCTGCTTCCACTCATGAGGAAGTTGTAGAGTAACGACACATCAGGATGGAAAACACATGAGGGCTAAAAGACAATTTAAAAAAGTATAAATTATAGAACTCCTTGTTATTCTTGTTGTTTTATTTAATCACAAATAAGAGGAAGAAAATTTAAAAAAAAATAACCTGACCAATCACAGGGAGCAACTGAGGATAATCAGGTTCTGAGAAAAGATGCAAGCTGAAAGAAATACAATATTCATCCTCACTATGTGAGGTTCCATGTAGGTTTGTTGCTTTTTTCCAACTTGAAATAATATAAAGCACTGTAAGAAAGGGTAGACAAAAGAAACTGACAGGCCTGACATTATTCAATCAAGATATCTCTATCAAGATGAAGCAACTACATTCCTAATTAACATCTGGCCATTTCAGTCATGAAGATGATTACCACCAATGTGGAAAGAGTTTAAACACTGCCTTAGGCAAAGTCCTAAAAAGAGTAAAATACAAGCCAGAACCTAGCAAGTCTTAATTCAAACAAAGGAATGAAAAAGTGATCAAAACAGTTTTAAAGCAGACCCGAGACAAATTAGTAAAGCCAGAGGTAAATTATTTTTTATAAAGAACTACCTCCATGTATTTATTTGTATCTAGACAGGATGTAACTCCTAAAAGAACACCAGATGAAATTGCTTGTTTGAGCTTCAAAATGTTTCTGTCAACAATCCCACAAAAGAGATTCAGAAAAGTTATTTAATCTTAAGAGGACAAAGAAAACACTGTCAGGGATTATCAAAAAGTTTAGAGAGGTGTTGGAGTAAGGTACCAGTTTCAGACATAGGTAGAACACTAGAAACCGTCACAAGACTTCACACAAGGTTTAGCATTTTCTGCTATTAAGAATGTACTGAACATAGCAACACTAACAGCAGATACATCCCAGATGAAATCCCTAGAATCTGTTTTACATGACATAATACCAGTATTTAATTAAAATAAGATTTGTCCAACAGGAAGAGTTAGAGTGGCAGACAAGATAGGTAAGGGATGCTTTCAAAATTCTCCACCATCTGGTTTAGACTGTCAGATTTGGTTTCAGCTCCTGCAAAGCTAAACGAGCAAAGCAATGTATTGGCAGGGGGATTTCACAGAAGAGTTTCTAGTCTAGTTTAAAAGTACAGTAGAAAAAAAAATAGCAGCACATATAAAATCACAGCACTATATACAAAAAGCGGTTAAGATTAGGCATTCCTTCCCATTACCTTTCCTAGAACCTCATGGTCACATAATTGTTGATCCCAAGCTTTTCCTTAAAAGTTAAATAGACATGCTTCACTCACTTGCATCTAGACAGACCCCAGTGGTCTCTCTTCAGGCACTGGCAACCTGCTGCTATCAGGCTCCAGAAGTCAATGGAGAACTACACACACCTGAGAACAGCAGCTAAGGCAAGGAAGTCATTGCTGGTAGGACTGAATTTGTTCTACACAGAAGAGAGCCTTCAGGGGTTTTCAGATCAGAAAGCTGAAAACTACTGTTTGACGGGTGGTTTTACAGGTGCCTGGAAGCATTCCAGGGATGTTAGGTGAGTGGCTGGACTGGATGATCTTGAAAATCTCTTCCAACCTTGACGACTCTTTGATGCTGCAAGAGATATGCCCTACCAGCCTGTACTAGGTTTTATTCACAGTTCTATGATATCAGGGCAAGTGGAAACAGAATCACATCGCTGTCAGAAAAGTCTCACAGCCTGACCCAAAACATCATTTGGCACACAAGATCTTGCAAAGCACAATTCACGTCCTTTTGTTTTTCTATAAAGCTCTCCAGGGAATCCTAGAGAATCAAAACCAGGATCCAACAAAGAACTTCTACAGAAAATTTTCATATATCTATGTTATAGTTTGCATTATGCATCTTTGTATCCAATTTAATACCTCAGGAGACTTGAAAGGCTCTGAAAAGTGATGCAAAAAATGCTGTGTACTAAACACAGTGCAGCATATCTGGTGAACAGGATATGCACAGAAGCATGTTTTAAACCTGGCTCCCTTCCAGAGACTTAAGATGAGTATTTCTATTGACTGGAGGTCAAAGGCCTGGAATAACCACTTGGTGGCAGATTACTTGATCCAGTCTTCAGAGCAAAAGGGCAGGAAAAGAACTATTTTCCTCAAAAACTGGAGATAGATTTTACATAATACTGTGGAGGTAAAAGCACTCAATGCCTCCTTTGTCTATTAAGATCTAGGCTTGTATGTCCCGCTTTACATCAAAAAGTCTCCCGGTGACCAGACTGCAGTGTATCCTAAGAGAAGGTCCTGTTCAAGCTTCCCACTGAAGATGCATGCCCACGAAGAAGAGAAAGCAAAGTTCATGAGACCCAACAGAGATTACAACTCAGCTGAAACCAAAGACAGCGACCTAGAGATGCAAGTGTAAGACTTTTGTGCAGAGGTCAGTCATTCAGACATGCTATAGGTTAAGGAACTTTGGAAACTTGGAAGCTGCCCATTCAAAGTCCCCACTATGCACTGAATCATAAGTTACAACGATTACCAGTACCGCAGATGTACGCAACAAGGCAAAGATTTATCAGAAACCTGAACTTTGGAACTCTCCTCATAAGTCTTCAGAATCTTCTTCAAAGTACAAAGACCGGCCAAAGAAAAAGGGAAGAAGAAAGCAAGCAAAGAGATCTTTCTTCTGCATTTTCATCCTGTGATGCCAAATTCACTTGTGTCACTGCAGAAAAGCCTCCAGCTTCATTTAACATGTTCATTGAATGATGACATGGAATGAGGCAGGTCTCCATGAGGCCCAGAAAAACTCATACGGACATTCATGAAGCCAAAATTTATCCTATCATTGGCACACTCCACTTTCCTTCTTCATCTGTGTTTTGTCTTGCCGAGAAGCGGAAGCAAACCCAGATCTTAGAACAGGGATAAATGTAAACTACTTCAACTACTTCTTGGGTTTTTTTCCCTGCGTGCTTATGAAGATTCTGTCTATTGTCTATTCATTCAAGAGATATGAGATAACTTCTCATCTTTCTTAACAATATATTAAAATAAATTGTAGCCTTCATACAAAAAAATTTAAAAAATAAAGATCAAAGTCACTCAACTGATTTGAAAGGAAACACACTTCCATACTGTCAGGATTTGAAATACATAGAAAGTTTAAATGTTTTACACTGTGGCTAAAAAAAACAAAAAGAATGAAATTGTTTAAAAGAAGGTTTTTAATTCAAGAGCTATTTGTAACATTAACAGTGTTTCAGATCCGGAATGAAAGCACCAAGAAGCTCTAGAAGTAATGGCATAGCCACAAGTACATTCACATCAAAGCCAATTGAAATAAAACTTACTCACCAAATATATTTCTTTGTGAAGATTACTAGTTAGTTGTTTCCACGAAAGTATTCTGCATACACCTATAAGAAAGGAAGAATATTAATGACATCTTATGGACCAGTGACTGTCACATACCTGACATGAGTGTACAGTAGGAATCAGGAATACAAATCTCCACAGTATGGAAGAAGCACACTTGGTACAGCCTTAAGATGCCACAGTTTTAGAAATTTGTCACCAAGACACCAATTCTTCCTGGGCCATGAAGATAATTTTACTTGCTCCATGTGCTGCCATAAGGACTGCTATGAGGCACAATAATCCATGTTAAGACACAAATGCTCCTTAATGAGCCTGCAGTTCTTGGACAGTAATTTGTGTGAAGTTTTAGCCTTCCATTGAGAAGTGGGCTCCAATCATTACAGATGTGTGTAACTTCCAAAGTTTCAGCCGATGCTCTTGGTGTCTGACTTTAGAGACAAAAAGCCCTTCTGTCTCAGCACAACAAACCTGGCCCAAGCAGCAGCCAGTGAAAACTGGCTTGTTTCAATGCCACTACTCAGATATTTGTGGGTAGCAATGAAACAACCCAAGGATGGGACCAATTTCAGCTGGCAGCTTAATGCTGCTCCAGACGGCTGCTGCAGCAGCAGCCAGTGCTGGAACTTCCACCTGACAGAGCTGCAAACAAAGCCATTGCCCCGTCTTGTTCCACCACAAAAGAAGTTCTCTTCCTTCTGGCTACAAGCTGGGCAGGTAGAAAGCCTGGCTACAGAGCTGATGGAAAACAAACAACCCTTGCCACATGAACAACTCTTTACCTCTTTCAGCAGCTGTAGCAGATTTCTGAATGAACCTGATGTACTTCACGTACACGGAAAAAAATATATTTTTAGGTATGATAGTTTAAGAATTAAATGTTTGGAAGAGCAACAGTTTCTACTCTCCAAATTAAACAAGGAAATAATCCTGAAGCCAAAAAAGGTAATCCCACCTATGGCTGCTCTTCAGGGTACAGCTCCAAGCTGCACAATCAACCCCTCACTATCAGCTTCACTGCCTTACTCCTAGGATGGAAATGTCTGTTTCAGTCTGTTACTGCAAGGGAAAGAGTTGACTGAGCTTAGCAAGAATCGTCAGTGCTAACAGCACTAAAGTACAAAAACAAATCCAGGCATGTAGAAAACATGTAGGTAAAAAGCAAGAGCACAGCTAGTATTTCAAAATGCCTTCAGTTTAAAACTCAAGTTTCAAAATTCAGATTTATATACAAAGCAAGATGAGCTTGAAAGCAAGTGTGCTATGAAAAAGAGACTGCATTTTCAAGTAGAGACCACAAGAAGTTGATCAGAAGCTTCCAGGTATGAGCTACAACTTATTTCCAAGCCAACAGCATGATGGGCTACAGCTTCCTCCAAAAGAAGTTGCTGTAAGTAATGTACATAACAGGCTCACAGTATGCAGGGAACTGAACACAGCTGGGAAGGTAATGCAACATATGGGTATTAAAAACCAAACACACCACGATTAAAAGCAAGAGAGTGGTATAATATCTCCTGGAAAAAAAACCCTTAACTCTGCCCAGGACATTACTATAGTGTATCTACCCTAGATGGAGAATGCACCATTTCTCCATCACTGTCAACCAAAATATAGATCACGGTCCAGAAGAGGTCCTACAGAACACCTGATGTTGGCAATCAAGTTTTCTCTGACGCAATGATTTACAAGATACAAAATCAAAGGTGGCATGAACCAGAATTCCCCTTTTCTAGCTCTCCAAAACTGGTTCCTAAGAAGTACATGGTAAATTCCAGTAAGGTGCAAGGCACAGCTTCAGAAAGGCCATGAAAACTCCATTTTACAGTTCTGTCATCCTCTGCCTCCTCCAAGCTCAGTTTTCAGAAGTGCCTTCCCCATTTCTTTTAACACTTTCCTAAAGCCTGAGCTCCAGATCAGTTTTGGATCTCCTTTTCGAGAAGACCCTCAAAGACAAAACTGGACTGTGCCTAAAGCAGCTTCTGAATTTCCTTGCTACCTCTGCTAATAAAATAGTCTTTTCCCTAGCATCCACCACCTCTCTGTTGGCACCTACCTGACATTTAGACCTGGTCACTTGCTGGACAAGGATCACTTTTCAGTTTGCACTTGTGCAGCGCTGCCCATTTCTACACTGAGGAAGCAATACTAACTTCTCTGAATATTTAGCCACAGTTTAAAAGAAAGCTTTACATGATATGCTGGATAATATTTACTGAGCAGTCTTAAAACTGATGTGCATACAAACCAGTACCCACATATTAAATTAAGCAGTCTTGTGTGTACCCCTCCAGTTATACAGAGGCATCCTGCCTGAAGCAACGCAGTGGAAACACTGAAACATGCTACATGTACTTGATATTTACATTCGTTATGGAGGGACATCCAGATTCAGAGTTCTCATTTTCACCTCAATTCAATGAACAGAAGGAAGCATTTAATTGCATCCAGAGGCAGTATCTGCAGTTCATACAATGCCCAGAACCAGGCATAGAGCTAAATCAACTTGCCTTGATCTTCAGGCCACACCACATAAACGACTAGGCTAGGTTAATGTGGAAAGCTAAGCCAGTCCCAAACAGTTCACAAAAAACCTCTTCATATGCTACTCCATCAAGCTAGACTCGAGAGACATGGATGAAACAAAGAGCACGTTACTACAGCAAACATCTGAACACTGCAAAGTTTAAAAAGAAGAAAACCCGAAAGACAGCTTCTACTGGGTCGGAAAAATTCTCGAGGGAAAACAAGACCATCCAGGAGCCAGGCCGAGGCGAGTACGGCTCCTTCCGCTGCCCTCCCGCCCAGGTGGGGGGACCGCTCCTCCACGGGCGCCCGGCCCAGAGAGGGTGGCAGCGGCAGGGCAGAGCAGAGCAGCCCCCCTGCCCTCGGTCCCACAGCCAGGAGCCGCCCCCCCCTTACCCTCTGGCGGCCAAGGCCCCGCAGTCCCCGCCGCTTCCTCCCCTCGCCGCTACCTGCGTGCCCGGCGGAGCTGCGGAGGCGGCCCGGCAGCGACTCCCGCCCATAACCCCGGCCGGCCCGGCGCGGGCACTGCCGGCATCTCGGCGCAGGGCGGCGGCACTGACGTGGCAGCCAAGGCCGCGGCGGAGCCGCTACGCCTGGCCCGGCCCTCCCGCCCCGCGGAGCCGCGGCAGGCAGCACAAAGGCGGCCGGGCTGTGCCCGCGCCGGGGGCAGGTGGCGGCGGCTCCGCATCCCTGACCCGCCTCTCCCGCCAGCGGCTCCGCCGGGGCGCGCCGGGTGCTCTCCCGCCTCCTCCCCTGGAAGTTCCCCTTCATCCACGGGGAGGCAGCGAGGGCGCTCCGGGGTTGCCCGGCTGGCGGTGGGGCCGGGGGTAGCGGCCGCTCATCCACCCATCCATCCATTCATCCCTCCCTCTCTCACTCACCGCACGGCACTCACAGCTCGCTCGGCCCGCCCGGGCTCGGCTCAGACTTTACTCCTCTGCCCGTCCCCGCTGCCGACGTGGCGCCCGCAGACCCCGCCCCAGCGCCCGGCGCGGCCCCTCGGCAGCCGGGGGGCGCCGCCGCTCCCGCCCCCTGCCCGCCCCAGGGGTGCCGGGACCCGCCGGCCCCCGCCTCCTCCGGCGCCGCCGCCCGTGCCCTCCCTCAGAGGGGCCGCGCCCCCCGAGGGCCTGCGCAGGCCCGGCCCGACGCCGGGGACGCCGCGGGCTCGGGGGCGCCTTCTTGCTCCGGGGCCGGGCACCGAGGTGGAGGAAGATGCGGGGTAGGGGCAGGGCTGAGGAGAGGAGGGACGGGGAGCCAGCGTTGCTGCAGCTGACCGAGATGCTTCGGCGTGCAGGAGATTGGTTGGCTTGGGGCGCTTCGTTGGGCTGGGGAGCGTCTCGGCAGAGGGGTCCTGGTGAAGAGATGACCCCTTGGGGCACCCTGCCCGTGCTGTTGGCACGACGGGGAGGCTGCAGAAGTCCGACACAGAGCTGCGCCCAGTCCTGTGCCAGCGGCATCTTGGGGAGCCGCGACACTAATCCTAAGGATCCGGGTTTATGTTAAGCAATATTTGTATTGCACCCTTCATCCCAGCTACTATTTTGAGTGAGCTGAACTTCTCACATGGCACCTGTAGAGAATAAATGTGTGGTAATCATGGCTTTATAGGTAACTGCACCAATGAGGATAGCTGGGGAAAGATGGGTTTTCTGATGTTCACCCCCTTCTTTGAGACCTCTCCATGTACATCTGTAAGGATCCCTGGGGAGGAACAGTCACTCTCAAGTTTGTTAGACAAGGAAATGCCAGATGGCCGAGGAGAAAGTCACATGTACTTTGAGTTTAGAAACAGAACTGCTTTCAGCAGCACAGGAATACTAAATACCTTATTGAATGCTTCACGAGTTTAGAAAAGTTACATAGACAAAATACTACCTCTGCTTCCTCCTTCATTTGTGCATCAAATGCGATCTATCAGAGCAATGCTGCATGGGCTCAGAGGGGTTTGCTGATCACAGCGACTTGGCATTCCTGACCTGCTTAACAAGTAACATCCATTTTCTCTGTTTTGGATCGGAATGGGTGAAAACATCAATGTGGGAGAATCCAAGTGAAAAACTGAGGGTGGTGTCTGATACCCATGGTAGGGAGCATACCATGGGTTCTGTCAGGATATGGGAAACACAGAATGCATGGATCAATCATGTTCTTTGGAAATAACACTATACAGACACACAGGAGTTCTACTCTGGGATCTTGATTTCCATCTGGGAGGCTGCAACTCTCTGAGCTCAGTGTTTGCAGAGAGTGTTTACTATTTAGTGTTTACCTGTCTGGTTCTAACAGATGACACCTGCAACTGTTGACATCCTTTTGGTCTTTGAGATAAGGATATTTTCTTAGAGCTACTATTCATCCCTTGCCCTAAGGCCCAGCTGTACACGGTGCTTTCTATACATGTGATGCTCTGCTCCAAATGCAAGGCCTGGAGCTTCTCTTGGCAGCAGAAAGAGCTGCTGCTTGAGTATTTTTTTTTGCAATAGAGGTAATCACCCATAAACTTCACAGCACGAGGCACCAAAGAATATTTTGCCTCCTAGTAACTGAAAACAAAAGGCATCCCAGGGATTAACAACTCTTCTTTTCAAACACTGGAAGACTTAGGATAGCACAGGACTTGGGTCAGTCAAATGTTTCGCTGAGCCAACAGAAAGAGCCACCTTCCTTGTCAAGCCACAGCTAAAGGGAGAAGAGCCTCACTGGCAGGTGTAGTAACTGAAATAACATCAGGCTGACATCTCTGCAGACAACAGAAAACAAATGAGCAGCATGCCTGTTACTTTGCTAACCAACGTTGAAGCTGATGGAAAAGTTTTGCTTGCAGAGGTGTTGGCATTGTGACTGTTTTTGTTCTCATTTAATATTTCATTTATAAACAGGCTCAAAAATGATCTGTTGGTATATTCAGAAAAGACTTCTTAAGTATTATTGAATCATTCTGAGAAATAAATAACATGCTTTCACTGGAAATAGCATGTAATTACCTTCTTAACAATTTTAAAATGGAAAAATTATAACATTCTGTCTTTCCCTGTGGAGGAGTGGTTCCGTCATTTAGATTATAGGTTTTTACATTTGTCTCTGAATGCACTATGATTATAGATGCAGAAAATAATTAAGGAAGGTCAAAATACATACATTTGGTATTCTTTTGTGAGGATTGTGGTTGCTTCTGCTGCAGTAGTTGTGGGGAACTACAGCCAGAGTTGGAGTTTTACTGTGTTGGATTCGATGTAGACCTAGGAAAGAGCCCTAAAAAAAGTCCTCTCTCAGTACAGAACTTAATTTAAAATGTTATTAGTGTCTCCTGAACTCCTCTGCCTTGAAGTTCCATTTTCCTGTTGTTGGTAGGCAAGAGAGGAACAGGAAGGCAGAGCTGTGGGGTCTGTGTCTGGTGAAGTCTATAGGCATATGGCTGGCAACAAACTCCAGATGAACTGTTTGCTCAGGCCTGAATGGGGAACGCAACAGGAAAGCTTGTGAGGTGTATTGTTATATTTGATTCATTTCTAAAGATTCTGAAGTGGAGCAGCCAAGGCCAGAGATAGACCTTACTGGAGGCCATCTCCTAACTTGTATGCCATGGATGTCAACACCTCTCCATTGGAGATCCATGCCCATGGCGTAATGGAGAGGGATTAGGCAAGGACTGTACTTTTGCAAATTCCAAATATAAATCTACCATGGGGCTTAAAAATGTTCCCTGAGTAGATAACCTAGGTTAATAGTGTGCTGGAAGGAAGGAGGGAGTTTAATATCCAGCATTTGTTGGTAGTGAGGCTGTTGGCTGATTTTCTACTGATAAAACCAGGCAGGGATGAAAGAGCAGCATACCCCACTCAAACATATAAAATGTCTTCATTGCATATGAAGAGATGTGCTTGGTTAAGTGTGATGCCTCATCTGCAGATGCATCTTGTCTCATAGGAAAGGAAACTGTCTGCTAGTTCTGGTTGACCCTAGCATGCAAGGGAAGGAACCCAGAGAAGTGAGTTGGTTGCACACTATTTCTGGCCAAGGGATCAGGCAGTAACAGAGATCAAACATACTAAAGTACCCCAACACTGCCAGCTACCAACAAAAAAGCTAGAGTATTCTCCTTTCTTTTTGTAACAGCGTTTTACTAATACAAATTGTGAATAAAAAATAAGAGACTTTCAGTCCTGGGCCGTTAAGTGTTTGGAGGTATCTTTTTTGTTACCTGTGCACACACAAGTTCAAGACATTATCACGTTATAATTACATATTTTAAAAAAATTATCAAGAAGCATGGTTTTGTGATTGTAGTTAACTCATTACTGAGCCATTAGGAAACTGGTTCCAGCAGCAGGACTATTAATGAGTTGGTTTCAACTACTGTGTGTGCATTGTGATTACTTGGCACTCTGCCTCAGTTTAGCTAAGATTTTAAATTTACATTGTGCTATTCAACCATGTCTTGCACTAGTGTTTATAAAAATGAATAGATTTAATTATCCTCATTTTATAGGTCAGGTCACAGTGTCATTTTGGGGTCAAGGGAGAAGACTGAAGCCACCCACCCCCTGAAGCAGTCTAGATCTGTTGTTCAACCTGCAGGGTGGCATTTTTTCCATACGACTGAGAAAATGATTGGGTGGACATTGACAAACCCTGAACAAAACAATTACAATAATATTATTTAGTAGAACTACAGTACATGGTTTGATGTATTTGTTGAGATTTGCAGAGATCACAAAAAAGCTTCATATCTGTAGAAGTGCAGTGGCCAATTAAAAAAAATTACCTTTGATGGGAAAATGATCAAAGTAATTGAAGTGGTTTCTCAGAGCTTTAAAGAAAAAAAAAAAAAAGATAATCACATAATAAGAAACACTATTGTTCCTTCTGTCACACTGTCTTCATATTATCAGCAATTATTTGATGTTCTAATCTTGCAAGCCTTATGAATATGAGCAGTCATGAGTAGCATGAGCAAAGTTTGCTGAAACAAATGAGCCTGGAAAGGTCAGATCCCTGCCTTGAATAAATAGGTACAAATTACAGTATTGCTGTTTAATTTCCTAGGTGTGGTGTGCTGCATAGAAGAGCAGCAACTCTTGTGACATTTTGGGTTTTTACTAAATTTTAAATAAAATGTCCTTGCTGTTTCCCAGCTGTGTGCTTTTCTTGCTATTGTGTTTTCATAAGCTTTTTTGCTCTGTTTTATGCAGGTAGAAGTTTGAGTGAGTTATGAGTTGGGTGTGTGTTCACCCACTTTCATAGCATAACCTCCAAAGAAAATAGTTGGCATGGGAACCTTCCCCAAGAGGTTGACATTTAAAGTAACACTTTGTGCTTAGCATGAAGTCACTCCTCAGGTTTATCTCTACCATGTCTCCATTTTTGTTATGAAATAAAACATTACCAGATTTACAGATCTACACAGCAAGAAGTCCTTCCATGTTTTTGAGGTTACAAACAAAGCAAAGATAAAACCCAGGCATGTGAAGGCACTGAGCACCTCTTTCCTTGCTTTTCTCTCCCAGGAGATCTCTGCAGAGCTGAGTGGATGCCTTCCACCCATTTAATTAGACATTCAACTCCCTGCTCTGCTTCCTTGTTCTTTGCAGTGGACCGATGAAACACACAAGTCTTCGGAAAATCAGGAGGGACCTCCAGACTTTGTTACAGCTATTTAATTATTGGGTTAGAGATGAGTAACAGCTTTCAGGTATTCTCAGCACCTTTCAGAGATGGCAGCATAAGAATAAGCCAATCCATGATGTCTTAAGGTCCAGTAAATGGTCTGATCACTGCCAGCTCCTAATCAGGAGAGCCAACAGCTCGCCACTGGCTCTCAAGTTGGGAATATCACAGTGGTGGCATACCAGAGATTCTTTTTGCTGTTACTGTATTTATTCCTACAAATGAAAAGACAAATATGAAACAGAGAATTGTAAACCAGGTGTGGGAACACTGATAAAAAGTACCTTCAAGTCTATTTTGAACTACAAGTCATCTACT